AATTGGCTCTGGGGTTCTTCCTATCAGATCCAAAACTCCATGGCCACATGCCATGAAGCACTGATCAAGTGTAAACCCACTCTGCTGGTTCAGATTTGTTCAAAACATCTTGAAAGATTAACTGGAGGCCTATGCACTGGACCAGGGAGCATCTGTTCTCACACAGATGGTAAAAATCTGCCATAATAGCACAAAATGCCAGCTAATACAGTTCTAGTTAGTTTGGTTTGCACATGTTCTGGATTATATTTATAATGATGAGTGATCTAGCATTGTCTCACAGTGAAGTCAGGGCTCTAGGAATTGTAGCAGTGAGCAAGCTGCTCATTGTCAATGCACAGATACTGGATATCTTTGCTTCTGCACAACCTACATTCTTTATTCCCTCTCCAGTAAACATACAAGCAGACAAAGTGTACCTGCGGTAGGATAACCAGTTAATAATGGCATCCAACCAAGCTCTTCTGTAAACACTCCCTAAAGAGGTATGGTAAAGTAAATGTCTTTGAGTCTTGAGTATTGAGACTTCTGAGGTGTATGACCTGATAAACTCATTGATATAAACTTTAAAAGTGTCTATCACTTTTAGCAAAAGATGAACTGTAAACAATTGAAAAAATTCATATAATTTTTCATCCTTTTCCATATAAAAAGATTTGGTCAAATCATATACCATATATCCACCCTCCTGTTATCTCTGGCTTGAATAAAGAGATGCAATTTTCTTCTACATTAACAAGATCATTAATAAGATAATAAATGTAGGGTGCTTTCCAAAACTCACTCAAACTATAGAACATTTTCTATAAACTACAGCAACTAGTGAACTGAATTGCGTACCCGGTGCCTTGTACATATGGATCTCAAAAGGAGGGACTATTAGCAAATATATTCCCAACTGTTTCTGTGAAGCTGCAATATTGGGAAAAAATATTTTGCTTCTGTGACATTGTTTGCTCTTCTGAGTCTTTAACTTTGTGGGGTTTTTTGTTTTGTTTTGTTTTGCTTTGCTTTGTTTTGTTTGTTTTTGTCTTTTTACCTCTCCAGAATCATAGAGGGTTTGCTTGGAACTCCTTCTTGAGAGACCAGAAGGAATGTTCAGCATGTTTTTTGTAACAGCATACCCAAGACTTCACAGAAAATACTGACTCACATTTATACCAGTAAAATGCTTTTAAAGATTTCACCAGGGGTTTAGCAGGAAAAATATATTGTAGTTCTGATGATTCAACATGCCATTTCATAGCTACACATCATTAACACATTAAAATGGTCTGTTTCATTTATTTTTTCATCTATATTTCTCTCACTTTGTTTTTGTCAATTCTCCAGAGATTTTTTCTTACCATTCCCTTGTATTCTTGAATCTGGAAAAAGAAGGCTTTATAATCATTACTTATTCAACTGAATGCAAATTTTAGTGCTTTGAAAAAAGAACATTCTCAGATGAGCATTTTCTTCTCAGCACTCCTCTCTGACCATTCTTTGGCAAAATTTTTCTGGTTACTTATTTACTTGTTAATTTCTTCCTAATCTGAAAAAATTAAGTATTCTCTGAAAGAAAATTGAGTAATTCCGAAGGAATATATTATGAAATTTTTGGATTTAAAATTAATTGAAGTTTAATTTGCCAAAAATTTAATTCAGCACTTGAGTCTTGACATTTAAGTGAGTTTCCTTTATTTTTACAGTTCATATGTATTTACAACATAGAGTGGTGAGTTACACAGAAAGCCTTCCGGAAATGATTATGTCAGTTTTCAAACAAGCAGTAAAGTACACATGACACTGCATCTATGATAATAAGAGTCATAGTTTATTCATTCAGCAATAACATTGCTCTCATGTGATACCTACTATTTTGGGATTGAGCTGGCACTGTTCTGGGATGCAGAGTATAGTGCTCTGTGTTTTTTGCCCTAATGACTTGATTTACTTGGGTATCTCTGCACTGCACTAAATGCATCCACAGCAGTAATGAAGTTATATCAGAAGGCAAACTAAGATTTTTCAGTATGTTTTATCTAGAAAGAAAACACTTCTGGTATGCAGAACCTTACATAAATTATTTTCTTATATACTTATTTTCTTTTCACTTCCTTTTTTCCTGTGTAATGCATATAGGTTCCACTTCTATGCTTGTGGATGGATCTCATCGGGTCCCATGGACTACAAGTTCTTTAGATGGTTTCAAACCCAATCTTCATTTAGTGGGCAAACCTCCCAGTTTTACCTTTTCATTCTGCAACTTGGGCAGTGCAGCTAAGAGACCTTGCTGTTGAAGACTGAGGCAAAGAACTCATTGAGCACCTCACTTTTCTCCATATACTTCATGACCCAGTTACCCAGTCTAGTCAAATCTGCTCATGAGTAGTTTTCAAAAGCGTGAACTACAACTACCTTAAATTTGGGAACCAAGAAAATTCTTTGAACTGACTATTGGAGCACTTGTGTAGTACGTTCAAATGTGTGTCTGGACAACCATCTGCCTTGCTCACTTTTGGTAAAAATCCATTTAATAATTTCAGATTATTGATTCTGGATGGGTTTGGAGACAGAACCAATCTTAGTCCATTGCTTTTCCATCTCTGGATGATTGTTCCCATCATTTTATCACGTTTCCATTTGATCCAACTGATGAAATTGTTCTTAGGGCTATGCTTTAATTTGGATAACTTAAATGATCTGGGTTAAAAATAACTCTAGCCTGAATAAAGGCCTATTTTAAGCTTGCTATGTTGATGAAGATGAGCTATCAAAATATGTCTGTTGTAAACAACATATGGACCTTTATGCATTCAGTAGAGGCCATATGAAACTCAGCATGTTCCTTAATGAATTTCTGTGATTAAATAAATTAATTAATAACACATTTTTCTCAAGCCTCTGAACTTAATTTCCTCAGTGTCTTGGAAAGAAAAATAGCCTCGGAGAGTAGTAATTTGCTTTACACTGATACCATGTAGACCACTTGAGAAACATCAGAATCATGAGAAATAAGCAAGTATTCATAGTCCAACTCCCTTGAAAGGGCCATTCATTGCCTACAAACCCTCCACAAATTGTGATTAGAAAAACATCTATTAATGAATAGATCACAAAACAAATATGCAGACTAGGCTGCCTTTAAATAGTGAGTGAATATGCCCTTTGGAACACAGATTGTTGAAGCTTCTATCACTGCATGTGCTACTGAGGATGGTAATCAACATCTTGCCTAGCATGACTGAGGCTGCACAGGCCAAGGAGACTCTCATAGGAAGGCCAAAGATTCAGCACCTTGGATATCAAAAACATAATTTGGCCACTGTTCTGTCCATTTAAAAGGTTAGATATTGAAAAAATCAGTGTCAGAAACATTAATGCACTTCTACCCTGGCTAAAAAATGGAGAACAGTGTTCCTCGAGTCAGCAATCTGCTGCTTCGAATCGGTTATATGACTGACTTCCTGCATGCTACATGCAGCACCTGCTGCTCTCTGTAGTAATCTGGAGAAAGCCAGGCAATCTGAGCACGCATTTTTCACTCATGACTTCACGGTAACTAAAAGCCTCTGACACACAGAATTTTCATGTTGTTACAAGAACTGCTCCAGACTAACAACCTCTCCCTCTGTCAAGGGAGAAACTAAAGTTTGAGTTGGAAACCTGGGTTCCAAATATATCTTAATCTGTTTTTTGCACAGAAAATTGTCTGTTTGCAGTATAATCTGCTACATTAATGCATTTGTTGTGTTGTTGTTGTTGTTTTTTTATGTCAGCAACTGTATGTTGCTCAGCACTTATGGTAGAAACTAGAATTAGAGGCTGGACACACTCCGCATAATGAAAACCATTTTGGCAATTCCTGAGGATTTTCCAGATAATATTTATATTTATATTTTGTTTTGTTTATACCAACAAAAATTGATAATAACAGGAAATAGATAAAGTAATAAATAATGTCTTTGTTGTGTAGACAAGAAAGAACAAATTTATTATGCTGTCTTTTCAAAGACAAGCTGAATACTGTTTGCAATCAGAAACACGTGTCTCATCAGCATCTTTGCAGCCAGATTAGAAAAGTAATGATGTCCAAATTGTGCTGCCACAGATGAGCATATATAAAAGCTGTACTGTAAAAACAAAAACAAAAACAAAAACAGCTAATGCATTAAAATCCAAGATTTCTCTTGGATTCATGAAGACTTTGTAGAGTATAATTTTTTTGCCTTTTTTCTTATACATACATAATAACTAGTTTTCATCAACAGAGATTAAACATATCTTTATAAAATTATAGTCCTGTGCATAAGGAGAAAAAATCTTATTTCCCTTTCCTTCTGATCTGCGTAGTTGCACAAGTCTAGTTTTATATACACACTTTCAAGCTTTGAAGCTACAGTGTTTTTAATGAATGAATATGATGAGAGAGACAGATGATTAACAATCAATTCACTACATGTTCAAATTACTAGGTGTAAGAGCGTACAATAAATCTCCCAAGTCAGAAACCAGAAAAATCATGGATTTGTCTTTTTAACAAAAAAAGATTAAATGTGATGTAATACAGCAAACAACTCCATAGAATATATCCTTGTTGCCAAGAAGCTAAGTTGAATATCCCAGGCAGACTTTTATATAATCTTATATAAATATGGAAGAGTAAATATACCATATGAGGCCTAAGATTCATTAAGCAAACAGTGAACACTTTGCACAAGTATAGGAAAAGGATATGCATACAACAGTGCTCACTGATATTGCCACATACTCTACCTTTGTGTTTAATGTACCTGTGAAGCTGAATCTGCTTGATATTTGCAGGTAGGTCACCTTCGCCCTAAACAATCTGAATCAACAAAATGAGGTAATGCCCCCTCTGACTCTATTGGTAATGCTATTCTATCTTGCAGAAGAGTTAGTAAGAAGCATGAGTCTGGATTAACAGCACACAAATTGCAACACATGACTCTAATAGTTTACAACCAAATGCAGAACCATATGCAAATAAAGGATACAATATATGGATGCTCAGGCATCACGAAGTAGGTCCTCAGGACAACTGACCAGTGGCCACAACATGCTGCCTGGTTTTCATATGCTTCTCCTTAAATTCTGCGCAGCATTCCCAGCAGTACTCCACTCTGCAAGCAAAGCAATCACCATTACAAAGTCAGCATTTTTCAGCAATGCCACCCCAGAGTATCTGATATATCATCTTTCTGTATCTGGGCAGGATATAATTGCTAAATCTCTACACTAAAGATTTTTTATGGCAGCTATAATTTGATCTCTATCCTTGATGTGGTTTGAACGGCCTAGGAGAGACAGCTATTTTACGTGCATCAACATATTTTTAATTTACTAAGTTAATATAAAATCTAATTTATACGAGATATGAATAAAGTATTGCATCCAAGAGATTAATAAATTCTCCTAATTTGTTTTCTAAATGATAGCATTTTTTCCAAAATACCCTTCAGATAGATGACCAGATAAAGATGTATTTCTGTGCATACAGATACATTTCTTTAGAGTGTTGTTCCATACTGAACTAACTGTAATGCAGGTTCTCTGTGCTTTCCAAAGGAATATTTGTATCATGTATGATTTATCATACTGTTTTATGTTTAGGTAATTTAACTTTTTGTAAGATGGTTCTACTAACATGAAAAGTTAATACTTTGGAGGCAATCATCACGTCCAAAACTATGTTTAACATATGTATCATGTAAGATTCTATTAAGAGGGTAGAAAATTGGGTCTTATATGTATATGCAGTTTCCAAAAGTTTCTGTATTTTAGCAATAGATTCGGACTTTAAAATGTTTAGGGAGGAATCTCTTGATTGGAAACAACCTTTTTTTAAAATTATATAACCTATTGGTTTTGGTTTATCAGAGTAGAAAAAGTACAAAAGCTCAAACTTGCAAGACATCTTTCTTCCAACTCTGTAATTAGCAAAGCCTAACAGTGAATCTAGTACCAACATCAGAATGCCTTGCAAATTGTTGAAGATGAGCCTAAAAGATACAATTAATTCCAGAATCAGGACAAACAAATTACAGGCACATATCCTGATGTTTTATCCAAAAATGCCGCTCTCTAGGGAAATAATTTTCTCTGTTCAGTGTCACTTTATATTAGCCACCCATCATCTGGTCATCAAATTCAACTTTTCCTTCAGTGCCAAGTCTATTTTCAAGTTTCTACATTCCTTATGTGTCACTGAATCTTCTCTTTCTCCCCAAGTGTGCTGGCTGTCCAGGCTGGGTCAAACGTCAAATATGTCTGGTGTCTTTAGAGGGATTTTTTGTTTGCTTGTCTTTTTTACAGATCTTTCTGTTTTCTTGTGCTTGCACATCTTTTCCATTCATTCATTCAAAAAAGGGAGGTATTGAACTGAGATGTGGAGAAGTTTCTGTGTGGTCCTTAGGCCACTTGTGTGGGATGGTATAACCCAGTGTTACCTTCTCAGGGTACTAATCCTTCCCTGTTGATTTAATTACAACAGGGTATTTCTTTCCTTTTATTCTTTTTTTGTTTTCCTGTTAAAATTGCATATTTTCTTTCTTCTGTTTTTGAGAACCTCTGCCCAAAATTCTGATCCAGCTCGCTGTCAGATGAATTTGGATTATTTCCATTGAGTTCAACCAAAAAGTCACTTTCTCCTCTGCTTTCCTCAGAAAAATCCTTTGCAAAATCCAGTGAAGCATTATTATGACTGGGGAAGCATTTTCTGGGAAAGTTACTTGCATTAAGTTACACTCAATAGAAGCACAACATTAAAAGACTTTTGCAAATGGAATATCCAAAACCATGGTTGCAGCTTTTTCTCGTGGAACTGGGAAACACACACTTTCTGATTCAGTGTGTGCTGCCTCGAGTGCTTTTGTGATCTTCCCACTTTTCAGTGATTTGGTACATGAACAAAACAGGTGTAGCCCAACCAAAAATGAGGTGGTACTAAAACTGTTTTCAAAACTTATCCCTGTCCAGAAGTACTTTGAAAAGGTTTTCCATAGCTCAGAAAAGTGCACGGTACAAATCTAAGTTTTACATTGTTACCCTAGCTGGGCCCACTGCTCAAGCCTGTGTAGGTCCTTATGATAATATTATACTAGATAACATATATATTTTATATGACATTACAGCCCTCAGTATTATTTGCTGGTCCATAAGATGTATACTTCTTCCTATTGTTTTGCTAACTCCTTTCTTCTAATGTCTTCCTTCTTCCACATTTTTATATTTTCGCAATATTTCAAAGGTACTCAATAATAACACTACAATATTACCCTTTTAATAATATTATTTATGAATGCATTTTAGTGAAACAGAAGTCTCTCAGGTCTTTCTTAAAAAAAAAAATAAAAAAAAATAAAAAAAACACCTTTTAGTTTTACTTGGCTAATTAGTATTTTTATTGGCTTTGTTTCCTGCAATGTTTCCTATAAATTCTTCTTCCAGATATAAACCCTTATTTACCCTCTTTGTACCTTGGATGAAAATGCAAGTCAGACATAACAAAGAATCCACAGTAGAACCACAGGATGGAGGGTCTCCTAGAAATGGAAATATTAGAAAGCTCAATTGCTTACCAAGCAAAGATAGAAATCTTCACTTTTTAAAACTCATATAATTATAGGAGTAGAGTCAATAAGAAGTGAACGCAAATGCCTCCATTATCTAATTTCATGGTACTTATATATAGAAGAAAAGATCAGATATCTACTAAATATCTCAAAAGGGTGGGTCTTCATAATGGAATGCTTCTTCTTTGTCTGTTCAAGAAAAATCCTTCCTCTTTTGCCAAAACACTCTTACACAGATGTCAACACACATATATATTTTTTTTTCTTATTCTTTTTTTTTTCCCTTCTCCTGCGCCATTTGGGTGAATTTTATTACTTTTCTGGTAAGGGAGGGGGGTTGGTGAGTACTGGTAATCACAAAGCAATTTATTTATGAGCCCATTTCCTGCTGGCTTTTTAAAAGATACACATTTGGCAATTGTGCTTTGACGTTTTGTTATTATTAGCATTTGGAGGAGAAGAAACAAAATTAAAGCACTTCCCTCAGTGAAGCTTCAGCATTTTCATTACTGTTTACACTGACAGCAGTAGCATAGAACTTTAACTGTAACATACAGTCCTGGCCCAGTGTTTCTCACCAGCAGCAATAAAACTGAACTGATGCCCTACAGGATTTTGTTTTAATCCGTATGGCATTAACTTTCCATCATGTGGCACTGGGCTTTAATGAAATCACTATGAGAAGGTAATGGGTAGCTGCAACAGGTGCTGATGCTGTGCTGCCTGTGTGCCTGGCTCTGCTCAGTGCCTGTCTTTGCCTTTTCCCTTTCTACCAGAGCTGAAAGGAAGAAATCAAACTCATTATGATAACCCAGCTGTAGCTATCCTAGCTCAGATCTGGATCTTGCAGTCAAGAAAGAGGTACTAAGAAGAAAACAGTTCGGCTTTGCTTTACTTAAAGCTTTTTTCTTGTGGTTGGGATGGTCCCAGAGAGTCTCTTTTTCCAGAGACCAGAAACACAGAGCCTTCTTTTCCCCAGTTCTTCCTGTCTCAGGACCTGCCTGCTTTCTTTCTGCCTGAAGGCTGCCATGGCAGTGTCTATCTATTTGAATACATCCATAAACACATGCAAACTTATACATCTGTTTTATTTTTTCTTAAACTGAAGAAAAGTTATATGATTTTCTGTGAACTGTAATGTTGACTTTTATCTTGTGCATATTAAAATATTATAGACAAGTCCTGTTACCAAGATTTCACTCTTGTCTTTTTGCTCTTTACTTAATTTTACTTCTCTTAGTTTAAGATAACTCGCTCTAGTCTCTTTGGACTAAATCCTAAACATTCTGCCTTCAGAAGAAAAGAAAACAGAAACTCCAGAATTCAAAATCAGATAATCAGAAACAACCAAATTACAAATCCCATTGCATGGCCTGATTCTCTCAATTTCATCCTTGCTACCACAGTCTGTTTGTTCCCTTCACTTTTCTGATCTCTCTTTCTCTGTGGGCACTCACTTCATAACTTCCTTTTTGTCTTCTTCACTCATCATCTTTTTCCTACAAACTGCACCCACTTCTTTGTTCAAAGTACTCAAACCATTCATTCCAATTCCTAACCACAAAAAAAACCTGTCCATTAAAATTAATCTAGACATTTTTAATCAACTACAACTTACAATGACAGATTACATTAATTAAACTATTAAGATATTTTAGCAGTTTACAGCCAAAGAAATTAAGCTACTAATTAAGCTACTGTAAGTGTTGAAATCCACTTCTCTACATGTCAAAGCCACATTCTTTTTTTCACTTTTTTTTTTTTTTTTAAGGTGGGGGTATTAAATACAAAATACTAATTTATTTGTCATGCTCTACTTGAGTCACTGTACAAAGAAACTTCACTGTTTGCCATCTTCCATCCATCATGTGGACAGTGAGAAATTGTCCCTCATCTCCTAAAGTGGTTGCACCACGCAACTGGAATTCACAATGTAGGGAATCTTCATTGTCTCAACCTCGCCATGATCTGGTTTATAATACGCCAACACTTTATACTGTGTTAATCAAGAATGTGTCGGAGGTACTGATGGTAAGTAGAAGGGAAGAGGCCTATGCAAAGCTCTACATCTGATTCATTGAATCATGTGATCCAGAAAATAAAATAAAATGAAATCAGTTGCAGCAGCTGGGTATTGTATTATAATCTGATTCAATCCTCCTTGTCTTTAGAGAATAGAACACATTTGCTTTATTGTACATTCTCCCTAACTGTACTCAGTACAACCACAGTCCTCAGCTGCACAACACAAAGGTAGAGTTTGAAACAGAATTTAAGCAGTGCTCTTTAGATTGCCTAAAACTCATTTTGTTCTAGTAGCCAAATTAAAAAGTTGCATTTGGAGCAGTTAGATTTCAAAGTCCATTCTATCAAAGGGAAAGAAATTCAAACACTAGCATAGTCTAAACACAAAGTTGAAATGCAAAGGCTTATGGAACTTATTTTAATAACCAAGTACAAAGTCAAGTTTGGAAGGAACAGGAGGAAACACCACCAGGATAAGCTTGACTGAAATGGAAGAGTGATGTACCATTAATTTCAGACCTTCTTTTATTCAGATCTCCTGAATATTAATTTTCTTTTTGACTTCTTCATGGCTATTTCCTGTCTTTTCTACTTTCTTCTCACTTATTTCTTTAACATTTGAAGAAGAAGGATCCACATAAAGAAATGTATCCTTTTCTTTATTTTTTGTCAAGTTGGTCCAGAATTCATATTGTGACTCCAAGAATTGGTGCTGATATTTTACTATCTTCTTTATTCATTTTTTTACAAAACAATTTTTCCTTTGGCTTGTTAGTGTAAAAACAAGAACTTTTGTATGTAAATATGTCTTCACAAGATAATGTGAATTAAAACTATTTTTGTGACATCCTAAAGAAAAATAACAGAGAAGAAGAAAACATTTTTTTGAAAATGGGATCTCTGAAGTAGCTCTGAGAAAAAAGAATAAGGTAACATTGAAAGCAAAGAGCTTGCAGTCCATACGCTGAAATCATGATCTGTAATCCTATAATTCAGGAAGAGGACAAAGAAAGGAAATGAACATTTTTTTGTGACTAGTATTCTGCCTGCATAAAGAGGTAACTGAATATGTGATCATGTAGTAAATGCTTTGTTTATCAACTCTGTGTAGGTAAAATGCTTTGTCTCATTTTTTTTTTCCCCATCCAGCAAGATATTTGGATAAGCACAAGCAAATCATTGCTAGTGAGTCTTTTGACTCTACTGGATATCTGTAACATAGCAATTCTAACCATCACAGTTGTGCTTATTGTTTAGTATAACATGATCCACACACAGGGAAATTCTTTTCATATATATAACACTGGCAAAGCTCACCCACTTAAAGCTGTTTCCAATGTAAATAGGAAAAGTACTATATTAGAAATCCATTTGTTTTTAGTTTCTTTCAAAAGTTCCTGAACATTAAATTTGACATCAGTTATTTATTTTCTATTTGTTAGTTTATAAGAAATGATATTTTCAAATAGTTTTCCAAAGAAAAGCTCAACCAGAAGATGAGAGATTAGACAAGCCACAGCAGGGAGGATAAAGAAATTGATTTTAACTTAAGGCTTAGGAGTGAAACTTTAAAATGCATCTTAAAACAAACAAACAAACAAAAAAAAAACACTAAGTTAATATATGAAAATTTGATTGTTAAGACATACAAATGTATCATACAAATTAGTTCCATTAGTTCCATTACCTGGGAAAATGTCCAAGGGCTTATTATCAGGAAAACAAATTCTTTCCTGGACCAATCCATGTCTCAGGAGAAATGCTGTTCAGACAGAGATCATCTGCCTAAATACCATCTTTAGTGCTGCTTGAATCCTTTTTCGTAAAATCATATTTTTCTGTGGCAATCTTCTCTGGAAGATTGGTATTACAGCTTTATCTTCTACTACACAGAATAATGTTTTTTATGTGCTTTATGACTAAATAAGAGAATCTATCTTAAACAGCCAAGGAGAGGCAATATTTAACCACAGAACTCTAAAATCACACAATAGAAGAGCAACAAAAGAAACTCAAAGACAGAAAGACAGAAGAAAATTCAGACTAAAATCACACTGATCTAATGAAATTTGCACTGAAGGCAGAGCAGAGATGGCAGTGTCTGTGGTGCTCTTTTTGTATCTTCAGGCTCAATAAAATCACATCTTTATTTCTTTTTTATAGATTTTTTTTAAATGCTAACTTTCTGATGTTGTAATGACGATAAATATTGGAAGTTTGAATGTTTAATATCACTCAAGATATTTTTCTTGGTGACTTTTGGAAACAATCAATAAAACTAGGTTGAATTCTTTAATCCACTTTCCTCACTTCTTCCCTTCCTCCCTTCCTTCCTTCCATGCAATTTTTCTTGATTGTTAAAGTTAGGGGCATATATTACAAACTTAAAAACCTGGAGGCAAATAAGAGTATCTTAGAGGAAGATATTTGGGTTTTGTTGTTGTTTCTTTTATTTTTTTATTGCCAGCATTATTATGCTAATCAGTCAATCTTATGTTTTTAGAAGAGGAACACGATTTCTGTGCAACTGAAAGTGGTAATGCTGGTTAAATCTGTAAGCACTAAATTGGAAATTATTGTAGGATTATGATCTAGGGGTTTGTCTACAGAGAAAACTTAAAGTAGCATACCTGCTCGTTATTAACCCTTTATTTAGATGCACTGACTCTGATAAAGCTGTTGTGTTTTAGGATAACTTTGTACACTGAGGTGTCCAGTACAAGAAGACATATAAACAAAATTCTGGGACTATGAAATAGAGCTCTCTTGAAATCCTCTGCCTCAAGGGCAATCCAGATGCCTCAGCACAATGTAAACTAATTGAAGTAAAGTGGATTCTGATTATTTGCTCCAATAAATGTTGCTTCGGTGGATTTTCTGTTTATTTGTTTGTTTTTCTGGCCTGTAAACAAACGAAAGACATGAAAATGACAGATGTCATTACA